TTTCAACCAATGTCGTGGGAAATGGTCACATCGTTGTGTCTGGTTTGTACACCTGCACTGTCGCGCACTCTGACAGACAGATCGACGTTCTACAAAGGCACTATTTTTGCTTGGCCATGGTCTTATAAGTCGATGGCTTGGCAAAGCACTCAAAGCGAACTGACCCTTGCCACCATGAACACGGGGTTTTTGGTTTTTGTTTTTTTTTGTGATTTTTTTTTTTTTTATTTGATTGATTTATTTCACCAGAAAATTATGTATACAATGATTGAGATATATGAAGAGGAAAATTAATATACGAGGTAATATGTACACAATTTTGAATAATTCTGGTGTGGACCATGAAAATAGTTCAGCAGAACTAGTCGAGTTCATGGCCCTATCACTTAAAATGAATAACTAGTATGAAAAGTAAGTGGTATCGTAACATAAATAAGTAAGTACCTAATCAGAAAAAAAACGAGTAAATTAAATATCTAAGTTAAAACAGATATAGCAGTAAGTGGTATGCATCATTTGGACGACAGGATGCTCACTGTGACATAAGCATTTTTTTCAGTGTTGTTTTAAATTGGTTTCTATTGTGTAAACCTTTTATTTGCACAGTAAGGGAATTCCAATATTTGACCGTTGAATATGTGAAGTTATGTTGGAAGAGTGACTGACAAGTTTCCACTGGGAATGGCTGTTGTTGTGTAACGATGGGAATGCTGATCAATATAATGACTGATATCATGGGCAAAGCGATTATTCTTAAGGTCAAAGATGAACAAACCAGTGTGAAGTTTGCAGAGTTTGTTAATGTCAAGGATGTCAAGCTGCTGAAAGAGAGGTGCAGAGTGCGTATATAAATCAGAGAAAGTAATAAGTCGTACAAGCTTTTTTTGTAAACGTAGAATTGGTTCAAGTAAAGTGGGGTAAGTATGTCCCCAAATTTCAATACAATATGTTAGGTGCGGGAGAATTAAACTATTGTATAACAAGAGGAGGGTAGATGTTGGCACGTAATGTCGAATACGTGAAATAATACCAACTTTTGAACTGATTATTTTACTTATTTTCTCAATATGAGATTTCCATGTCTGGGATTGGTCGATGGTTACACCCAAATATGTTGTAACTGAAGCACTCTCTATCCATGTACCATCTATATATATTTTTCCTTCCAGATTAATATGGCGTTGGGGTGTTTTCAAAATCATATAATTTGTTTTTTTGCACATTAATTGTAAGTTTGTTGGCCTTGCACTATTTCACAACTTTGTTGAAGTCTTCATTTATTATGTCGAGGTCAACAGTCTGGCTTTTTAGGAATTTAAACAGGTTTGTATCGTCAGCGAACAGTCGAAAGTTAAAGGCGTCAGTCGCTTTATTGATGTCGTTAATATAAATAAGAAAAAGTATTGGACCCATGATGGACCCTTGGGGAATTCCGCACTTGACCGTATTGGCAACCGTTATTTTATAGGGGACAACGGGTCATAACATGAGGGGAGTTAACACCCATGATTATAAAAATGTCTTGATCAACAAGAGTCTAAGTTACAGGGAACATTATTTTGATTTTTCAGTGGACCAATAAATGCATTTGACAGGAAAATATAAAAACTCTACCACAACAGCAATTAAAACAGCTTGCTGCATTATAAGTATCACTTCCCTGTCAAATTAGTGGTTCATACTTATTTGAATTTGAACATAACAGGCCAATTCTATCACACCTTGCTAGGCTCGAACTTCCATCCAATCAGAGCATTCCAAATAAACATGATTCGCCACAAATACTAGAGGGCGCTCTGACCAACAAATTGCCATTATCTAAATAAAAAGAACTGAATGTCCACAGTAATGTCTGTAGGTGTACCTTGGCTGCATGCACAATTAAAGTCCAAGATTGGTCGAACGATTACGTAACAAACCAAAGTGAATTGAGACCCATTTTAACACGTAGCCAAGGTGATGAAAATAAATGGTACCCACCCAAAAATACACAGGGCCCAAACCATGTTGTGCATGCACAATTAAAGTCCAAGATTGGTCGAACGATTACGTAACAAACCAAAGTGAATTGAGACCCATTTTAACACGTAGCCAAGGTGATGAACCAATGCATTGCCTGATATTAAACGTTCAGAAACTAACTTTTTAGAACACAAGTATAAGCATTCAGTAACTTTGGTCAAAAAAAAGTACATTTATCTTAGTAATAGTGACACCTGTGGTTTAGTATGATTGATCCCCACGATTGAGTGCAGGAGCATAGAAGTTTATAATTAAAAATATTTTTCATAATAAACATGAAACCATCATGAATGGCCTTATAAACAGCCTTTCACTTCATAGTGGGGTGGGTGGAGTAAACCTGTGATTATTTTTAAAACTTTCTGACCATCTAGTTTGCCGTTCACCATGTCCATTTCCATATAAACAAAAGCTCCAGCCAATATCAGATTTGACTACTTGTCTCAAGTGTGGCACTTGGAAACGAGTGTTGTGACATGTGGCAAATGTCCAACTGTCTTGGTTAATAAGATTGGCTATATTTCAACTAGAAACAGGTAAACCAGTATACCTGTATGTATGAAGCCAGTAAATGTTATTCAAGCCAAAGAAACTGCATCTATTTATATAAATACACATGGACAGAGAATATTTTTTGGAGCACTAAATGTGACAAATGCCCTACTGTCTGTGATAAATATACCACACCAGCTACATAGTGTCAGACGACGAGATGGGTAGGTAGTGAGAAAAAAACATTGACTGAAGCCTTGCAAAGGACTGAATTGTTGTCAATAGCAACAAACATACTGGGAAAGTCAAAGACAATGAAAAAACACACAGGCATATAAATACTAACTTTCTAGGATTTCTTTATTGGCTCCAAGTAATC